CTAATCTTCTTAGATATAGCAACACGTTTCTTAAAATGAATTTGTTTTCTGTCTTATATTCCCAAGGAATAAATCTATCATTGTAAAAAAGAAGGATGCATTCAAACGGATCTTTTTTTATTTGTTTTTCGTCTACGGTATGGTACACTCACATAGGCATACACATAGGTACACGAATTTCTCTAATGCCAATAGAGACAGATATTAATAAGCGAAGAATATTTAAAAAAGAGATAGCATAGGTTGATCAGAGTGGACAAATTTTAATTTAGTTTTCAGAGACATTATAGTTGTTCGATGAGAAATTACATTTTGTGTGGAAGAAATGTGAATATGCTGATATTCAGTTAATAGTGACGAATAACAGAATGTGCAAGGTATTCTTTTATTTTTATTTTTCTATTTTTTTCCTCTCTCTAGATATTTCAAATATATTTTTATCTTTTTTTCTTATATCAACTCCATGTTGATTACCAAATCGATCAAATATTGGGTAACGATTCTGGCAGTTCTTGTACGATTGTAATGCTGTATGTTTTGAACATATTATATTGCTTATTAATGCACATACAGCTTATAGTTCTTTGACTACTCGACTTATTATTTCCCACGTATGACTAGTCAATATATTACCCATAAAGTCAATATGATTCATATCATTTAGCTTTTCTTTAATATCATTTGTAGTTTCCATTTGTTGAATTAACTTTTTATCACATAATTCTAATTGAATAATTGTTCGTTTCTAACATTTTAATAACTGATTTACGGTCATACTGAACATTTGTAATATATTCCATTAACTCTAATGACATATTAACATTATTTAATAATTGTAAATGATTAAGGTGACTTCGAAATACAAGAGATTGTGTGATGAGTCAATCACCTTGCGGTGGAAAACAGACGGATTTTGGTAACATCGCTATTGATGTTTGATCGCAATAGAGCATTTGAATTTCTTTTCGATTTAAATCAGATAAAAACATGAATACAAATTGTTCAATACTCTCAATTACATTCTGATAACGTGAAAAATCTTTTGCCTGAGTATTATAGTCATGATAACCAATTACCAGCAGTCATGGAGTCCAAACATGTGAAAATATTTTATTCATAATCGTAATTTTGTCGGGTCTATAGACTGATGTCAAAAAGAAAAATATCAAACGAATAATATTAAAAGTCGATTAAATATTTTTCCACCTTATTTAAATATTAGTTCGTTCAATATTTTTCCTTTATTTTAAAATAACTAAGTATTTTTCTGTCTTATGCGAAAAACTTTAATATTTTTCTATCCCGTTTATCTCATTCTACATGAAGGAACTGATGTCGCAATTTGAACCTACCCAGAAGGGACGAATATGCGAAACTTGACTTTTGTACCTTATCTAAATATTTTTCTATCTTACAACAAGAAAAATATTTAATTAATTTTTAATATTAGTCGTTTAATATTTTTCTTTTTAACTTTTTTTGGTATATCCATTTTGTCGAAGATGATTTAATTATCGAAGATTTAATTATGTTGATATAACCTTTATTCTGTCAGAATACAAGCGGAAAAATATTCCATCATAGTATTCTAAACTAAAACTATCAAAGAAGACAAAATCAATTTTGTATGAACAGACAAACATTGGAACGTATGAACTTAGCTTGCAGTAAACTGCAAAAGTAAATCCACTGTTCTGAATTAATTGTGTTAATAAGGAATGAATAAAATCTTACAGCTCACCATTATTTATATTCGATCTGACCAGAGATGGGCAAGTACGAGCAAATACTCGTACGCGAGTACAAATTTTTAGATATTCGTACCCGCGATATTTTGTAATGCGTCCTCGAAAAAGTACTCGAGTACTTGGATAAAAACCTGTTTAACTGAAGAAAAAAGGAATTCAGCAGAGACTGATCGATACACTATCATCACACAAAAAGTTTTTCAGCGACAATCCTCTTTTTTAAAAAAAATTGTATTCGAGTACGTACTCGAGTAAAACTGTTTTGTACTCGTACCAGAGACCTTCGCAGGGCAACTTTTTTCACCCTGTTCTGTCCTGCCGCCTTGCCCTGTCAAAAAATCACTCATAAAATTTTTTTGGCCCTGTCCTGCTCTGTCCAACTGGTCAGGACGCCCTGCAGTGCAAAAGAAAGTTTTCTCCTTAACCTAGAAGACTTTATCTTCAAGGAACTCATCACAAATAGTGGGTGCGTTTCTCGTGCGTAACAGAATCTTTTTTTTATTAATTATCAATTTTAGAAAAGTTGGCTGTCATTTTTATTTTCACATATACCAGATATCAAAATTTTACTTAAAAAGAAGCTGAAAATCTCAAAAAAAATCAATCTTTAGCAGGATAAATAAAGAAATTTTTGTTACCCTGTCCTGCAACAGGGCAAGGCAAAAAGAATATATCACCCTGCCCGGCACAACAGGGCAGCCCTGTCCTGCGACGGTCTCTGACTCGTATTCATACTTGAAAAGGTATGTACTCACTCATATCTGGATTTGACTGATGAAAGAAAGTCACTTTCTGACGTAACGGAGAATCTTATTTAATCTTTCGTGTAGTAAAAGACTAGACATAAAACATATAACTCTGGAGGGTATTTCATAAAAATACTCAAGTGCTCGACTTAACTAAGCCAAGACTTAAGTCTCCGCTTTGTACACTGATGTGTTAATTTTATACACATAAGTCTGACTTAAGTCTAGACTTAGTTAAATCGAACACTTAAGAAATTTTATGAAACACCCTTCTGTACTTTATAATTTGCCCTTGTACATTTTTAAACTCTAATGCAATATTTTTTTTGAAAATTTATCGTTGGTTTAAACTTTTTTATTATTGTACAATGAAGCATTATTATCTATTGTAACGTTTCTCATTGTGTCAAGTGATACATTGAATATGATCAGTCATCAAATCTTACTGCATACACTAGTAAACACCTTTTTTTTGCACATATAAGATCAAACTATTACCGAATTTGAATTTTCTGAAAAGAAGAAACTTCAATATAAGTTAGAGTCATAATGGTGCCTGATATTAAGAAACATATCACTAAATCGAGAAATTTTAAAAGTTTCTTTGGTTAAAACTGATTGCAGATTCGTCTTCTCCATACCCAGGTTAAATTCGCCTAATCGGATCCTTTTAATTCTGATGATTTTCGGAGGTCGAGCGTTCACTAGGACCCGAAGAGCGAAATCTGCTCGATTCCTTCGCGTTCCGATATTTGGTTCCTGGAGGATCCGGAGATCCAAAAGTCATCGCGTCGATCAAAGTAATCAACGAGGGAGAGACGACTCCGTAATCGGTTTTGACCGAAGAAACTTTTAAAATTTTTGATTTGGTGATGTGTGACTATATTTTTATTTTTAGTGATTAAGTAACGAGAAAATTAATTGTCTGTTGATGATACAATCTCATTAGAGTGAACACAAAAGCAATATGTTTTCTTAGCTCCCTCATGCTATACTGACACGACCTCAGATGCGTAATAATATGTTACAGTAAAATACATCATAGTATATATCTATATATATAAAGAAGAAAGTATGTTTGTTTGTGGAAAACATCAGAAAGTACTACTCCTGTTTTCGGATGACCCTTTTGGCGCGTCAAATGGAGTATGAAGTGAGCTAGGTTTCATGCCCACCTTGAAGGTTCAGGGTCAACTCTACCATCGTGTGGGATTCCTGTTGCCACTTTCGAATGAGAAGCATCAAGTCGTTCAAATTTATTTCATGGGCGACGAACATCTAGAAGCAAAGCAGTGTTGCAGTTCCCGGGCAACGCCGGGTACTTCAGCTAGTCGCTAATAAACAGTAGACATTGCATATATATTTCTTTTCTTGTAATTGGTGAATCTCTCAACAAATGAAAAGATGTATATGGCATTGCTCGTTCCATCCACCGAACAAAAAAAAACATAATAAAGCTTAAGCGAAAGTAAAAGCTAAAATTAGTCCTGTCATTTGCATTTAGTTGATTACGTACTTTAGTCCTCATTTTACAAAAGCAATCCTGTGAATAAAAGAATAGTGTGGAAAGATGAAGCGATTGTAAACATCAGTTTTAGGCTTTTTCGCAGCTTCTCTGGTTGTTCGGTTGAAAGACAAACGATACGAAAAAGTTTTTCACACAGCAACACTATTTTTGTCTTCTGTTTTTAATACAAAGTGTACGGTCATTCTGACGAATGAATGTATATACATCCTGTTTAACGGAAAAAACAGTGTGCTGGACCCATATTGAAATTTAGATCTTTACCCAGTTTTTTCAGAAGAATCTCTCCTAACCGGCGAATGAATAAACAGTGATTTCTAAATACTTTTAATTCATTTTTAATAGTTTTAGATTGTAATAAATTAATTTTCAGCAAATATGAGCGATCCGGTAATTATACTCTTTCATCAAAAACGCGCATCGTCATTGTTAAGTTTTGTTTTAGGACACCCAAAAACATTCTGTTCATACACTCGTATTTCGTTCACTGAAACGTACGTATGATATGTTTTTGTCTAATCAAAACAATCCAGTGTCCCAAGATGAACAAGCGTAAGTTATAACTGTCTCTAGCCATTATCATATGTTGTTCTTTTTGCTGTGTTATTTAGTGAAAATATAGTAAGAAAAATTAAAGCAAATGATCAATATGGCACAGTTTTAGCACTGCCGAAAGGAATGAAGCCTCATGTTCAATATCAACCCGAAAGCACAGAAATTCAAACGAAAAACATATCTGATTCATTCGGTAAACTCAATTTTTGTTATGTACTTAAGGCATAATGCACTGAGAACAGTGGAAAGTGTACACATCCCTGTCATATATTCCAAGAAAGCAATGATGTAGATTATGTGCCTCTAAACAAAACATGTTTATTACAGCTCTTATGACTTATTTGCTTTCCTTTTCTTTTGATAGAAAATGATGATGAGACACATAACGATTATCCAGGTTTGTGTGCTAACTCGTTTTCTAGAACCATGGATATTTATTTTGTTTTGGCTTCATTTACAGATAAATTACAAAATGGAAATGAAAGTCTGAGCGATCATTTGTCTAAGTAAGAGTAATTTCCAATCTTTGCTCTATCAATGACTTTTTAAGTAATTTTTTGTACGCTTCAAGTGATATGACAAATCCTGATGCTTCGCGACAAGCGTATACGGACGCACAAGTACCTTCAACTAGCAATGTAAGTTATTATTTTTCTTTATTCACATGATAGTTCTTCTGCAATCGAATTACTCTTGAATCCAAATAGTACCGATACTATTTGTGGCCTCTAGCTACAGGAAAATCCTTTGCAATACGGTTTACCTCTTCAGCTAATAATATGTTATGTTTTCATTAAGGCACTGGTACTTTCATCAAAACAATCTGCAGCAAATCAACTACTACCACGAAAAACAACGATGATGCCAAAACCTCAATGGCATGCACCATGGAAATTGATGAGAGTTTGTATTTTACTTGAATAACCTACTTTATAAGATTCAGCAACAAATTTTTTTATTACAGGTTATCAGTGGTCACCTTGGATGGGTTCGATGTGTTGATGTCGAACCGGCTAACGAATGGTTCGTGACTGGGGCTGCTGATCGTGTTATTAAAGTACTTGTTTTTAAAGTATACTTGTTGGATCAATTAGTTTTTAGCTTATTTTTCTTTTTTAGATCTGGGATTTGGCTAGTGGTACGTTGAAACTATCGTTAACTGGCCATGTTTCTACAGTACGTGGAGTTGCTGTTAGTACTCGTCAGCCATATTTATTTTCGTGTGGTGAGGATAAACAAGTAAAATGTTGGGATTTGGAATATAACAAGGTAGTCAAGAGTTAGCTAATAGAAGAACGACTATTTTCTATCTAACATCTATATCTTTCTATTTCAGGTTATTCGACATTATCACGGACATTTAAGTGCTTGTTATGCATTGGCTCTCCATCCAACGTTAGATATTCTTGTTTCTTCTGGTCGTGATTCTGTAGCACGTGTATGTTTTGAACAAAGATTGATTTACCGTACTGATAATCATCTTTATTTTCATTGTATTTGCCTAGGTTTGGGATATGAGAACAAAAGCTCAAATTCATTGTTTAACTGGTCATACAAATACTGTTGCCGATGTCAAAGTTCAAGCAGCCGATCCAGAAGTATATATCCGACTCAAAAAATACCTACCCACTGTTCTATGTTATTTCCTTTAAGATTGTAACTGGTAGTCATGATAGTACGATACGTTTTTGGGATATTGTTGCAGGACGAACTTATTGTACTTTAACACATCACAAGAAAAGTGTTCGATCATTGGCAATCCATCCAAAATGGTTAGTAGAAGTTAGCCGCTCTTGTCTTTAATAGATTTTGTATCAGCTTCGACATAAATTTTAATACAAATATAATTGTTCTTTTCAGGTATACTATGGCTTCAGCCTCTCCTGATAATATTAAAGAATGGAAATTTCCAAAAGGAGAATTTATACAAAATTTGAGTGGTCATAATGCAATATTGAATTCATTAGCAGTCAACGCTGATAATGTTCTTGTTTCGGGCGGTAAGTACAGATCGGCCTAATAAATTTGAATTATTTCTTTTTTCTTTTTGTGTAGCTGATAATGGTTCATTGTATTTTTGGGACTGGAAAACGGGTTATAATTTTCAACGTATTCATACAAAAGCACAACCGGGTTCAATTGAACCAGAAATGGGCATTTATGCAATGACATTCGATCACAGCGGAAGTCGTCTAATTACATGCGAAGCAGACAAAACAATTAAAATATATAAAGAAGATGAGACAGCAGTATGTAGATAAGAAAATTTCTCACTGAAAATGCAGAACTGATACTTCTTCGTTCTACTGGAGAAGAAAAGAATCCTTTTGGAGACTCGGTTATCAGACTAAGATATTTGCTTTCATATCGTATTAGTAGAACATTATTATGTCAACATACTTTCTTTTTTTTTAATATTTTTAGACCGAACAATCACATCCAGTTGATTGGAAACCGGATATTTTCAAACGAAAACGATATTAGTTTAAATTTTGTGCTTGTTGTTTGTTATATCTTTTTGTCTGTAAATAAATGTATTGTTCAAAATAATTTTGTATTATTGAAAATACATTTCGATTAAACTTCATATATTTTGTTCTTTCTTCTGTAAAAAAATCTCATTGATTATTTTGACGGCAATTTTTTATCTTTAGATGCTATCAATAAATGGCATCTGTTTACATGATATATGCTTGCGTCTTCTTCCATTTACAGTATGTTCATTGTTTGATACTAATAACGGACTAAAGTGTTTATTTATTTATTTCGGTTTTGTAGTTTCAACATACGCGTACAATAGTTTTGTCGTCAATAAATAACTATGGTCGTCCGATTAAGGGTGGTTTTGGTCAAAATAAAAAAATTTATTATGATGAACCAAAACGTCCATTGAGACCAAAAGAAAGTAGATCGTTACGTTATACAGCATTAGAGGAAGTTAAGATGGAAAAAGATCAACATTCTCTAATTGAGCCGATGATTGATCGAACAAAACCGCCTCATAAATTTCATGTTGTACATAAAATTGACTCGCTATTTGGAGAACCATGGTGGGTTAGAGCAGCAATGCAAGAATTAGGATTTATTATTGATAATAAAAAGGTAAGTCGATACGAATGGATAGAAAAAGTTCTTAATATTTCTTATCTATTCTAGCAATGGGATATACGAACAGTCATTGTAAAAAATGTTCCATCTGTTAATAAACATTTATGGTTATGTAAACATATGGTGCAAATAAAACCATTGACATTTGTTGATGGTTATCCAAGCGAAAAAGACATAGGTTTCACAAAGTTATATACACATAATGGAGAATTAAGAATTCTCAATCATGTTCCCGGAGACAAAAATGTATCAGATACAATTGAACCAAAATGGCCAATTGAATTTGGACATATTGGAGCGAGGTTGCATCGTGACCATTCAGCAAGTCGTTTACATAAAGAATATTTTCCAACAAAATATGACTATGAATTTGATCAAGATAAACCAGGTGTCAAAATTATACCACCAGTAAATCCTGATCATCCAGATACGCATTTGGAAGAAGTATGATTTAATTATGGACCTTATTCTTTTTGTATTCTTTGTTATTGTTACTTACCAGATGTTATAAAAGTGAAATATTTTACTTTCGTCGTACAATTTTTGATAGAATAAACAAAATATTATTTCATATTTTTTCTTGTAACAAACCATGTTGTAAACTCAACAGTAAGAGTGTTGGACTGAAACGCCTATTTTTATGAAATTAAGTGAAAATGAGTTGTTAGTATAAGAATTCAAGGGACATTAGTTGAGCTGCTGAAATATATGCTTTGAGTAAACCAGACATTGACTCAACAATGTTGTCGTTCGTTTTTCTGGAACTGATCGACTCCTTCTAACATTCCATTCCAATTGGATTACGGCAGTTATATGTTGACATATAGTACAGCTTATAGATCCAGAATAATCCTAATATTAGCTCCTTCTTCATTAAAAGTACCGTTCGTAATATTGTAACAAAGATTACTTTTTGATGTTTGCAGATGAAAACTTTGTAAAGCAAAAACAGCAATTACAGATTTATTTTAAATAACTTCGGAATAATAATTTTTTATGTCCTTTACTTACATACAGATGTTATCGAACAATCAAAACAGTAATTGTTTTTTCGGCTGGTTTTCCAGAGATTGTCCCCGCCGATGGTTAGTGGGGTGGCATGGTTCGATATAAGCATAGTGTCAGATTATGCTAGTTTACAGTTTATAAAAACTAATCGAAATTACACGACTTGATACTGGACTCTGAGATGCAGTTTTTCTCCGTTTTTCGAAAAGTTTTGAAAAATCACTGAAGATCTTTCTTGTAGGGATTAAAACTTTTAAATAAAAATACTAACTAAATTATTCAAAACCAATACTTCATATTTTGAAAGTACGACCTACTTAGACATATATTTGTCCAAATTAGAGGTCTCTGACTGGTTTCGCTGAGATTGATCCTTAAGTAGTGTATTTTGGTTATTATGCAAAGTATTTCTCATCTATTGTGTATAAAAGAAATTAATGATCTATGAGAGCCTGAAAAACCTGATTTTCTAGATGGTGTGTCTGATCGTTTTCAGAAGAAAACTCAAGAACCTAATGAAAATCTATAGTAGGTGAAATAACACATTTTTGACTATTTTTTCAGAAAAAGGTATAACTCAGTCAAAATCGGTTCAAACTATTTCAGAATTTCAAAAAATGGGTTTATATTTCATTTTGTCTGCAATATATTGTGAATTTCAATAACAGTTTTAAAAACCAATAGGAAGTGCTTTTGTTTTTGCAGATATCTGTGAAAGTAAGTGAACATTTTCTTAGTCTTAAATGCAGAGTCAGATTCAGCAGACAAAATGGAGTATAAATCAATAAATAGTAGTGTCTACTATCAGTAAGTGTCTACTATACACTTACTGATAGATCAGCTTCAATTTGTTCCTCGATTTATGTATAGACAAACAAAGGGAGCAAAGCTTCTTCGATCTAATTAATTGCTATTTTTGCTTTACAAAGTTTTTATCTGCAAACATCAAAAAGCAATCTTTGTTACAATACTACGAACGGTACTTTTAATGAAGAAGGAGCTGATATTAGGATTATTCTGGATCTATAAGCAAGAAGAGTTTTATCCTCCCAATTTGCCATGGTTTTCTTGTGTTCTGTTTTTCAAGACGAGCGAACTTCAAGTTACAATTATGTATTTCAAACAACGAGCTGTTAAACTTCCGGTAGAGAATATGTGTGCAGAAAAAGGCACAATTAGCTTTAACTTTCGTTTTTCCTTATAATCTGATCTATTTGAACTTATACTGGTGCTGTATAAAAACGGTGTGTTTCAGACAACATTTTATAACTAACATCCGAGTGATTGTATTAGCCGTAGTTGATTTATGAATTGCGAATATAGTTGCAGTAGTAATATTCATCGATCTTACTCAACTGATGACTGGACACTAATCTTGTTTTTAGACCTGAATTTTGTCCATTTATGTATGTACATTTGAATGTAATATTTTGATCATTTAACATTGACAATGTTACAATGGACATATTCGGGTGTTGATTTTACCATAAAAGATAATGGTGGTCCGGAATGCCTCGTATACGCATCAACAGCACAACGTTTATATGAAACAGGTATTATTATTATTTGGGTAGCATTTGAATTACATTATGCAATCTATTATGCACATACAAGATTTACAGATCCAAATGATACGCCATTTCCAGCAGAAGATTGTGAAGAGAGAAAACCAAGTGTACTTCGACGTATTATATTAGTAGTATATGCTTGGTTATGGGGTATTGAAATTGGTTTCAAAATTGCTTCGAGACAATTAATCTGGATACTCAATCCATGTCATATAGTTACATTGATACAGATCATTTTATTGGCTCTATCATCTAATAAAATATCTCGTGGTTTGTACAGACTGCATGTCGTAATGATCAGTGGAGGCACACTCGCAATGTATTTTCCATTGACGACCACAAGATTTGTGAGTACAATTATTTCTTTTTTAGTCTTATGTTATTGTATAACTGCTTTTATAGTTTCCATTTGAAGTTGAAATTTATTACATTCAACATATTCTCATACTTATTGTTCCAATATTTTTGTTAACGTCACATGGTATGAATAGGAAATTGATCATCTGATTGTCATGATCTGTAAACATGATATTGTATAATTTTAGGTGGTTATAGTTTAGAACCAATGAAAAGTTTTCGTTGGACTATATTAGCAATTACATCATTTCGTATTTATCATTTTTTTGTATTACAACCAGTTTCACTTGTACGTATATAATTAACTATGCCAGTAAAACGATTTTTTGTTAATATCACCATTTCTTTTGTTTATTTTAGTTAACATCAGTGAATTTGAATGGTGTTCTTTGTCCATTAGAATTTGATCCGTTTAACAGTGTATATTATCGTATGTGGGCTAATGTACATCAAAGTCTGTTTATGCTTTTACATCACAAACTTTATTCATTAATAGCTAGAGCCTTATTAGGATCAAAATATATATTTGATATAAAAAAACTCTTATATTCATCCACCAAAGATTTATCAAAAGCTAAATAGAGGTTTTTTTCTCTTATTTTTCTCTCAAAAGTACAGACAACTGTGATAGGTATGCGTATGCTATCAGGAAAATTTATAGGATAAAATATCCATCTTTCTAGTCAATATTTTCTCACCAATAACTAATTTTAGCTTTCAGCTTCCTCTTACGGATAGCCCGTTGTGTACATTAACACATTCGGTGTTTCAATGTATATTGTTAGTATTTTCTTATATATTTGTACGCATGAATATCAATCTTTTCTCTATCTTTTTAAATTATTTTTTTATAGAAACAGTGATAGACGTTCTTTATATGCAAATAAACATTTTCATCAATATCAAATCGGATTATTTTATACTTGTACTTGATACTGCGATAGGTTTTTTGCTGTTTTGACGAAAATAAGTCTAATTGATAATTGTTGTACATTGCAGAGAAATGTAATTTACCTATATATATTTCACATTTCTTTTAAAGTACGGTAAATTATATTTTCATTTATAAAACAAAATTTAGTTTTAAGTACTTCTCACACTACCGTCGGTTAAATGACGATATGACAGATAGTTTACAATTAACACTTATATTCTGTACATCAAAAGATAGCCTTTGTTAATAAGACATATCGAAAATACTCATTGACCATTGAAAAAAAAGTTATTTATAACAATAATTCTAACAGATTTGTTTTCTTCTAATTTTTTGTAAAAATACAATCAAAAAAAAAAATAAAAACCATCGTAACAAAATTAACAACAGTAAAAACAAACAAACAGGTGGATTAAATGAAAAAAGAAAGAGAAAAATGAAATTTATCAAGATATAAAATTTGTATCGTTGTTTGTATATAATATCATAGGATACATCCTATACGTGATCTTAAGTATGTCTTTTCATATGAAGCGTTAAATGATCTGAACGTGCAAATTTCCTATCGCATTGTTTACACTGGAATGGTCTATCGCCAGTATGTTTTCGATAATGACGAGTTAATTCGTCGCTTCGAGCAAAACGCCATCCACACGCCGTAACGCCATCATTCCATGGACATGCATAAGGTTTCTCTCCCGTATGAGTACGTTCATGCGCTTTTAAATGTGAACTTTTATTGTAAGTCTTTGAACATCCTTCAAATTTACATATATGCAAGACTGGTTGTCGATGATTTGCTCCCATAACTCGTTTTGAGACACTATTTTGTTTCTTTTTTGGCAAACGTTTTTTAATTGGTTTTTCTACCTGAGTTTTTGTAATATGAACTTTTAACGGTTTTTGAGCAGTTGAACAAAAATGATTTTCTGATAAATTTGTTGTTGGATGAGTTGAATAATCAAGAATCACATTTGACTTTTCATCATCGCATAAAAAATGATCTGTCTGCGATAATTCTGTTGATGGACATTTTTCTAGTAGAGGAGATGATGAAGATGAGCAAGAAGAAGAAAATGTTGTTCGCGGTTGGGGTTGATCATCATCGGAAAAGAATATTGGTTGGGGTAAAGGAAATGAACAATTACCATCGATGGTGTATGATTGTGATGTACGCGAATGAAGATATGAATCGTCCATTTGTGTATATTGTGATGGATAATTAAATGGGAGAACTGATGTACAATTCATTACACAATAAGGAGGATGTGTTTGAGGACATGATTGTGTCGAATATGAATACATAGGCTCCGGTTTGATATGATAATTTGTTGGACTATGATTACCACTATGACAACACATCGAACATAAACTACTCTCAGGATTATGTTGTCTTTTAAATTGTTCATGAGAACATGGTAGTGGTGATTGATACATTCTATAATGATCAATATCCTTATCTTTAATATAGTATGAAAATTCTTTTTCAACTGGAACATGCTTTTGAGCTATTAGCATTGATGGTGAATAAGACGATCGTTTTAACGACGAATGATGAAATGATCCGACAGATGAAATTGTAGTTGTCGTTGGTGTTAGTGGTGATATCATCATTCCTGGCTTTTCATTATGATCATCGGATGAATAAGAATTGATAATGTCAAATTTGGAATAATGATCATAGAATTTTGTACGAGGTGTTTGTTCATAGTCAATCATTCCCAATGATTTCATTCTTTCTGCTTGATCATAAACATTTGGAGTTTCTAATATAAGTGATGGATCACGTAAATGAGCTGTATCTTTCATTAAACGTTCAAGTTCCGAATGCTACAATAAAGAAGAATAAAATAAAATAAAATTCCGTTCCAAAAAAAAAACAGAAGAAAATTAGCAAAAAAAAAAAAAATGAAATATTCAAAAGTACATCAAGTTTTGTCTGTCAATAATTAGAGAGTCACTTCACGCATTTTCTTTCGTAGTCTTCCTCTTAACTACTTTTATGCAATAGCAAATTTACGATAGAAAAATTTATGTCATCAAGATACATTTTGCAAGAAAAAACATGTTAAAAACCATTTTCATTTAACTTGGAAATGAAATTTTGATTAGAACAAGATGTTTTGTTGAACTCTATAGGCGGCAGAATTTAATAAACTGTTAATTCTTAGATATTTCCTTTGTACAGAGTTCATCTGCAATCATCAATGTAGAAAGATAGAAACAATAATACATTGAAAATAATTTGGATAATACCATTGATTTTCTATAATTTTTTACAATATTATATATTATCTATTAGTCTCCAATTAAAAGTAGCGGTCAACTTAAAAGAGACTTTCTATTTATATCATTGATGTGAGTTAAAACATAAAAAAAATTTAAATCTAAAACTTACGGTAACCGTTTTTGGACTTGAACAAAAATCATTTTCATTTGTTAATAAAGATGATGTATTTGTCATTGATTTCGTTGAAGATGAGTCGTTGATATTGTTTTTCGTATTCAAATCATCGATCATTAAACGTTTTAAGTGAAGTTTTTTCATTTTTTTTTCTCTTCTTTTTCTTCTCTCTTGTATTATCGTTTGTTCTGCAAGAATATAGATATATATATTACATAGATCTTATTCTTTGACCAACAGAAAATGTTTCTATCATTGATAAACTGTACGCTATTGGTGAATATATAATGGTGATGAATATTTATAAACAGAAAATCAAAATCACAATAAATTGTAATAATGTGAATATTCTACTGCTATACATTAGAAAAATGTTTTTTTCTTTTTTAAGTTAGTCTTCCTCTTCATAGTCCCTCTTTGGATCACCTAAGATAGACAAAATAGTAATAAGTTATTAGATTCAATCGTTATATGAAAAACAGAAAGAAACCCGTCGTTTTCGGTTTCTTTCCCTTTGCACTCAAAACACGTTATTTTCTCTTTTGTACATTTTTATTTCTTTCTTTTTTTGCACATTGACCCAAGGTTATTTATTTTTCCTCTCATTATTGCGAAAAGTGATTAAGTGACAGTCAGGTTTCGGTTGTTGTTTTCGCATTTTTTTTTCTTCTCTTGAACAAAACTAGTTATGATGACGACCCCGCATCCGTTTTCTTCAATAATTTTGAACAAAAATATATTCTTTTCATAAGTTTTTATATTAGAATTTTTACTCTCATCTTCACAGTGTTCAAACAAAATATTTTTTTAATTAAATATCATATCACTTGTTTCTACATTACTGGCATTCCTCATTTATTATCGTTAATTACGCAGTCTCTCTCATTTTTCTGTGAAAACCTAAAACCTATACTTTTTGTGTGTCATGTGACATGTGCAAACTCGTCATGCGTAACATTGACGATCACAACAAAAGAAATATGAGTACTATGAGCATCGTCATTGCTTCGATGATCAGATTACAATTATAAATATCGTGAAAGTCTTTTGTCCAATCGTTAGACGTACCAAAGAGGAATTTTCATTGATTGTACATTATTTAATTTACGACAATATTTCTTTAACTATGTTTCTTTTAAAAAAAAAAAATTAAAAAAAAATTAAAATACTCGGAAATCAATACTATAAAATTTGTTTTGCAAATAATTGAATCGTCGGGTTATATTAAGAGAACAACTAAGCCTTTTGGAGAAGGCCGTCAACTCCATTGCAATCAGACAATGTTATGCATATTGATTGAATAATTTTGTTATGATCAATCATACATTCAAAATTTTAAACAGGAAATTTAAAATGTACTTTGTATAGCTTTAAACTTCATTAAAGCGAAACAAGCAGTGGTACAACATGACATTTTTTCATCCATCATGCATATAAAAAATATTACAAATGAAAAAAACATTAACAAAAGAAAAAGTTTCAGTCTTTTTTAATATGCTTATGTTTGGCATATAAACCAGTGTGTGCTCACTTTTCATATTTTAACAACTTTTACTCAATGTACAAGAGTGATTGTGCTCTTTTTATTTTTGTAAAAAATTACGTCAACAATAAATCTACGATAAAGTGTGAGTAGGTACGTAATGAAAAAGTATTGATTTTATTTACAATTTAGAAAAAAATAAAAATCTGTGGGCGAGTTTATAAGCTTTACTACGTTAAGAAGATATTGATTTTTTTCATTTTCTCAGAAACCAGCTAACGTTCGCCTATATTCCTTGACATTTGATGTGTGATTATTGGTGATAGGAGAGAAAAAATATTTTCATATTAGACGAACTGATAGGCAAAACAAATTCTGTTTTTTAATTAATTATAACAGCTGAGTAAAATAAGATTTTATTTACGATATTTTAACCTTAACTGGTCATTATTAAGTGATAAATAAATTGTAAAAGATGTAAAATTTTATCTTAAAAACATAAGAAAAACTCAATTATATTTTCATATATCTAAAATCAATACCATATGATGATCCACCACAAAGAATTCCATCGTTCACCATCTTGTTTTGGTGTGTTCATGACTGTTGTTCTAATATTAATAGATGATAATGACGTTGGCTCTTATATATATATATATATTCATCACTAGTAGAATACATAATAGTACAATGTGTATTATTTTTATCAATTCAGTATCATATAGATATTGTTCAGTTGACACATAAATAATTTATTGATATTTTTATGTTGATATGTATATAAAATCTTAGCAAACTATTTCGAGATCCGAGATTAAAATATTTAATATTTATATACCCGATGAGATACTATAAGTCATATGTATTAACGATTTCATTTAATGACAATATAAGTATCTTTTACAGTGATCTATGCAACTTCTTTTATGTTTAATTAATATCAAAACGTACACACACACACACATCTTCTTTCTATGTTTATTATGATGATTTCAGCTTTTTATTGCATTTAATCTATATATATTAGTTCAAAATATTAACAGAGTCTAAAATGTTCGATTATTATGTTTTGTTTTCGCCTTTTGTTGACTTTTTTTATTTCAAAAATAACATCATTCTAAATAACAAAAATACTTATTTTTATTTTGTTTTATAGACATTACTATGTGGACAGACAAACGAACTATTTATTTCGTAAGATCTTGACTTTCGTTAAAGAAATTAGTCTCTCATCATATTTGCACATCTGTTTTGTAACAAACTAACAACTCAATGTAGTGACGACTTTTTTGGTCATGATCGGCATTGTCAATGATTCATCGGTTTCTTCGATTAACTACATCTGATCTAAATTAAATGTGATTTAATTCATAATGAATCCCGATCATTTAGATTCGTTTCAATTAAGTGAAGAAACCGATCAGTTATCAATGTTGACGATCATTATCAGAAAAAATTGTGTCTATTACGTCAAATAGTTTAATTAATACTAAATTTAAAAAACCTTTAACACTTCAGTTTATTGATACACATTTCAAAAAACATCATCATGGTTTGACTAATTCATTTCTTTTTTGAAACATGTTTTAATCACATTTCAACACATATACACAAACTTTTTATCTTTTACAGAACTTACCAGATATATTTCCTGCTAGATGATCTTTTGTTGTTGCATGTACTCTGCTCTTTTATTTAGAAAATTTATTCCGCTTATTGTTACCGTTAATAAAGTAAAATTTCATATGAATGATACGTAAAATATTTTTGCTGCTTTGAAAAAAGAGAACAGGATTAGTTTAATCCATTTCTTTTGTAGTTTGTCTACACTGACCTTATGATGTACAAAATAACATATTTTAATCATAATTGTTTTAGTTTCAATGTCCATATTCTCTAAAAAATGGTTTGTACTTTATGCGAGTTAAAGTTAATACTCTTTGTTTTATAGCTTTATTCTGTCAGAATACAAGCGGAAGAATATTCCATTATAGTATTCTAAACTAAAACTATCGAAAAACACAATATATCAATTTTTGTACGAATAGAGATTCGAACATGTGAACTTAGCTTTGTAGTAAACTACAAAACTAAATTCACCGTTCCGTATCTATATTCTGTACAATGATTGAAGTTGTGCAATCGATTCGATGTTATCAGTAGTCATTTTTTTGGTATGTTTTTTGTGTTCTGTTTGTTTTATAGCTTTATTCTGTCAGAATATAAGCGGAAAAATATTCCAGTATAGTATTCTAAGTAGTACTACTAATACTCTTTTAAAGTTAGAAAAATTTGAATATGGCTAAATATCGACATATTGATTAGGATATAGTTTTCTTTTGTAATCTCTAACATGAGGATAAAATTGCTATAATTTCACAACTATTATTCAATGAGATCAACTTCCTGTATTTATCGCATATACCACACCCTTGATTAACTCATACTACACGTGTCAATAATAGTATAAAATATATGCACATCTTCGTTAGTTTAAGTAAACAAAATTAAATAAGACTGAATTTTGCTTGTTATAACATGTACGAATGACAAGACAAATGAAAAAAATCGAGATGTGTTAAATGCTTAACGATTATTGACAGAATAATGAGATCGTAATAATAGATATTCACCAATTGATTCCGTTCTCAAACAACTAAAATGTGCTTCTTACATTAATTTTGAGAGACAATTTTATCTAAAAATGGCTTTCTATTATTTGTCATTGTAGTAAAAAAAGAAATTGTGATCTAATATATTTTTAAAGTTTATCGTAGCCCAAATCGCATCATTTTTACTGGATCGTTTATCTTGATTTCCTCGATATGGGAATATATTTCTATTAAGAATACTTTTTACATTATTAGTAGTTGTAAATTGTACATCACTTAATAGGATCTACGCTTCAAAACTTAAGTATCATCCAAAACTTCAATGAAACATTAGTAAAGTACATAAAACCTGTTTCAATTGACAACAACTTGCAACAACTGTGATTTACTAAAATTGTTGATTTTAGAGTCGGAAATAAATTTCTTTTTCAGAAAACAAGCCGCTTTTAATGAAAAAAAATTTTTTATTTTCATTTAATTACATTAAAGCGAGCGCTTAAAATATCTATTTTACTAAGTTGATCAATATATACATTTATTTCTTATGATGATGATGATGTTGATGATGATGCACTTTTTGTATCAACAATGTGTAAAAAAATTCAATCATGTTGACAAATAAACTAAAAGTCATATATGAAAGTGTTGACAATCGGAAATAGAGATAGATCATTGTACGCACAAGTCAAAAAGCTAAGCAATGCAATTTCCTTCTATAAATCAATTAATAAATAAACGCATCTTTTCAATAGTCATCGATCAAAGAACAAATATAATAACTAGAAAAAAATTGATTTTAAAATTTAAACGAGAACTAAACACAAATTCTTATCACATAATCACTTCAAAGAATAATATGTCTTAGCTTCGTTCTCTCGTTAACTTTATACAAGATATCTGGTAACACTTGGTCATATGACATACGAATAACGTAGTTTCAATTGCGTGCATTCCCTAGTAAGAAA